TAGAATTTTTTACTTATCTACAACTGGATTGATTTTTATCCTGTTTCTAATATTTAACTTTAAGAATAATAGCATTAAAATATCTTTCCGAACTCACTTCACCAATAAGTATACATAGTAGAAAAATGTCATTCTAAATTAAGTGACACAATACGTGAAGAATTAATTTTTGAAAATGGTGTACGATAGTTTTTTAGGTGGACATTTTTTAATTTGAATGATTTTAAACATATAACTGAATAAAAAAATATTAAATAATATTTCTTTAATATTTCAATATGATATTTTATTTGATAATTTAGAAGTTGCAATTAAATTAAAAGTTTACAACTGATTAAAAATAGAGTGTTTCTAAGATGTTGATAAAAAATAAGTGTACCTATTATACATAACATATAAGGTATATTGGTATATAATATACTGTATTTATTATTCAATAATCCAAAATATGATAAAATTGTTATGAGTAATCTTAATACAATAATTAGTATAATTTGGTTATCAACAAAAAATTTTTATTAATAATTAAATACTCAGTTCACGGCATTTAAAAAGTTGCTTATAAAATGTCTAATAGTTTCTTTTTTTTTATAAAGTTCAGTGGATTTTCATTCATCTAACTACCTATGTATTAATAAACGTATTAACTACTTTAAGAAATTAATAAGTTAAAACTTAAAAGTGTAAAATATAAATGTATCTCAATAGTTAAATTTGAAAGGTATAKAATGTAAATATAAATTATAAGTTATTGCTATTTTATTATTTTTTATGCATAGAGATATCATATGATGGTAAAGAACTGTAAGATTCAACGATTAAAAAACTTACACAAACTGTGTTGAAATATAAATAAAATACAGTATGATATGTAATTCTAAATCCATACGAGTTATAAGAATAATTTTATTGGCAAATAAAAGTGAATATCAGTGTATAAAACTAATTCCAAGTATTTAATATTTAAGTTATCGATGGTTGATATTACTTATTGTTGTATAAAAAAATAAATACATATTGTAATTTAAGTGTTTTAAAAAAGAGGTAATTATACAGGATAAACGAAATACAATATACAATATAATATTTCCTTGGGTACAATTGTACTTTTATGGATGATTCAGCTGGCTTATTTTCAGAAATATTTAGTATGAAAATTATGACACTTTCTTATTTGATTCGTTTTTATATAACTTCGGAAAAATAGAATAGACTAAATCTATTTAAATTACAAGCAAAAAAATAAAAAAATTTTAATATTATGAGAAATAATTTTTTATTTAATAAAATTATTAAATTTTATTTTTCAGAAACATCAATTTGTTTATGACGACTTTGTTATAAATGTTATAATTGTTCATGATTGAAAATAATCAAATAAATATCAAATCGTTACACACTAACAAGTTAAATCCTAAGTAAGCATTTTTAATATTAAATTAGCACATGATGAAAAATACTACCTCATACCTGATTAATAATTAGTAAAGATTTTAGGTTTATAAGTACCCATCTATATAATCAATCATATTTTTTTATTTTATTTAAAATAAGCCTCGGCAGCAGAGGCCATTGGCTGCATCAATAATATTATAAATATACGAATAATTAAATATATCTTTGCCTTTTTCTTATTTAAAAAAATAATTTTGAATAAATATAATACATCTACATTTTATATTTATTGTAAAACAAGTTAAGCTAGCTTTTTGGGATAGGTATTTATATATACCTTTTTCTTTTGTAAAAAAAAATAAAGAAAACAATGGTGCCATTTTTTGTGGGATCATTCAAGTCATTAGTTGTTTATTCACAAAGACATATAAACAGAAATAATAAAATATTATTTTAGATCTTATTGACAGTTTTTAACAAAAAGTGTACTAACGGGCATGGTTAATGTTTTCCCATCATTTCAAAATTGTAGATTACGAAACTCGAAAATATATAATACATTTATGCGGTTAGTTTTGTTATAAACAGAATAAACAGTTTATTTTACATGGTCGAAAAAAAATGTATTTCTTTTTAGTTACACAATTTTATTATAATTATTGATATTATTATTTAATTATAATTTGTATAACAATTTCAAAAAATAATAATAAAATATAATAAAGGTTATCATCATTTTATTGTTATCTTTGACAAAAGCATATAGGTACCTACTTAAATATTATAGCAACGCGTAAAATAATACGTATTTATACAACGTATTATAAAATTAGTATCTTTTTTACCCTACAATAAGACATTATGAATGATTTTTACACGATTAATGCTTGTTATCATTGGAAAATGTCCAATTTAAAAAAGCCGTGCTTAAAGATTTTAATCATATTAAATAAAGAAATATTGTGACACAAAAATAATAGGTACAACCAAGTATACTGAAGTACAGGTATAAATGGTATAATAAAATATCTATTCACACTGAGTTTAAAACTTTATAAATTATTTGTCCACGAAAAAGCATGTAAATTATACTCAATAAAATTTAATGCCAATATTATATTATAACACGTACTCTATTATATTTGGTAAAAAGCCACGTATACACGCGTATTAATATATTATTCTATAATATTATAATTTAATTACATTTTTCAGCATTAAACATATTATTTTACTTTGATGCCTGGTTTCATAGTATAACTTAAATAGTTAGATATTTTTTTGGACATACATCTCGATTACTTAAAGTTTAAGTTGATTTTTACTCTGCATGTCCTTAGATAACGCATTATTCGCGTAGCAGAG